CCCTGAGCCAAGCCCACAGTGAAGGTGAAGGGTCTTGCGACTCCCAGTGTCCCCCTGACCCACCCCTGCCCACCCCCCAAATTCTACTGCGGTGGAAGAGAAGTCCCAAACTTCCACGTCTTGGCTGCCACGTCACCACGTGGATCCTGTGAGAGGCTCTGCAATGAGAAAACAGAGACAGGGCCGTTACCACTCATGGCACAGGGACCCGAGGGGCTGCTTGGCCAATGGTTCTGATGAGTGACAACCTTCTACACTGCTCTAATTCTCCCTTGGCCCCTTGGCTGGGCTGCTCTCAAAAAACACACTGAGGAAAGGAGAAGGTGTTAGAGTTTCTTCTTTCATGATACGAAGTGAGTGAACAAATCCTACTGCATTTGTGGGACACTCAACAACTCCAGCAGATGAAAAACCTGGAGAGTTTCTCCACTTCACTTTTCCCACGAGCTCTGCCACCAGAGAGGAAAGCAGAGAGGCCGAGCTGTTCTCCGTGGGACACAGATACCAATAAAGGTACTCCTGGAAGCAGCTCCATCAGTTCACATTGCCCGTGCCAGATGGATCAGTGCCCAGCCCAGCGCCGACCTCAGAGCACCAGCTCTTCTGGGCTCGAGGGAAAGCACGGGGAGATGTGGATTTAACCTCTGTCCCCCTGCCCGGGGATGGGAGAGGACAGAGCCAACAAGCATCTGGTTGGAGAAGGCCCCGGGAAGGTACTTGCTCAGGGCAGATCTCCTGAGGAGCAACTTTCCCAACGTATCCATTGGGACATGGAGCCATCCACGGTCACAGATGGGTTTAGCTGGCCAAGTCTCATGAAGGAACAACTGCCACTGGGGAATGGGGAGCTGTTTTGGTCCCTTCTGGAAGGCTCAGCTGCAGGGTCAAGGACCTACACTCAGCTTTGCTTGGGAGAGAGGTGACATGGACATGGGAGAGGCGGCCCAAGCCTGGTGGGCTCCCTGGTGGAGATGAGCATGTGGTGGGGGTACCCACTCTGCCAGGCTGCTGGACCCCCCTAGCCCCTTGTGGGGCTGCATCAGGGAGTGGACGGGACTGGGAAGCAGCCATGTGGCACATCCCAAGCCCCTCAAAGAGATGGCACCACAGGAACTCTCCACACATGACCCCCTGGCACAGGCCACCCTGTTATTTAGCGCCATAGGACGCACCACTGAGGCTGGAACTGCCTTGTTGGCGATGAGACCTGCACCAGGGTGAGGGGGGAGTGGGTGCAGAGCCCCCTGTGAGAGCCCAGCTGTGCCTGGAGCACAGAGAAGCCGCCGGGCTGGACAGGCTGTGCCGGATCTGCCGGCCCGATCGATGCGCTCGATTCCTGCAATCAGCTCCAGTGCCCGGGGACACGCTGGGACAAACACACCCCTTTCCATTACACCGTGTCCAGGGCCAGCCAGTGCCAGGGAGCACTGCCAGGCACAGCCTGCCTGGGGCTGCATCATGACAATGATACCCTGCACTGCCTTTTACTGAAATGCTCCCCAAATCCAGCCTGAGAATCAAGAAACCCTCCAGAAGCACTGCACCACAAGCAGGAGCACTAAAGCCTGCCCAAACCTCCCAGATGCTGGACACAGAACCAGGTGGGCCACCACCTCATACCAAACAACACATTTTGTCCTGCTGCAATCAAAATACAACCATTTTTATCCCCAAAGTTGATTTTTTGAGAGCCACAGTGGTTTGTTGGCGTCTCAGCAGACCAAGGGATTGCTCACACACTGAATGAGAGCCTCTTCCTCCTTGGAGCCACAGGGGAGAGTAAAATATGCACAAACAGTTAATATTAATAGTAAATATTTACAATATTATAGTCCCTGGAATTGAAACAGGCCCAAAGTGGCCTTGCAGAGCTGATCTGTCAGGCCAGCTGCCCAGCACCAGCCTGGTCTCCCACCCCGAGTCTTCCTCCTGTCCATCCTGGCTGCATCCATTAATGTTTCTCCTCTTTTTTTAAAATGAGATCTGAGCATTTTGGACCAGAAAAGGCTGCTCTTCTATCACCCCTCTGGCTCGCCCCAGGACAATACACCAAATGCTTTTGCCACAAGAGGAATTTAGAGTTGGGTTTTTTTAATTAATTCTAGATGCATTTGAGAAGTGAACAAAATGCAATGAGCCCCCAGTGACCTGTGAGAGGATTAGCTGGGGTCTGGATTAACTGTGCTGGCAGGGGAGCTGTGCCCGGGTGACTGCAGGGGCAGCAGAGCTGCCCTCACCTGTGGTGGAGTTTCCAGAGTTTCCAGGGACCCTCGGGCTCCTCGTCCCCATCCCTGTTCCCCCCTGCCTGCACCCCCTTCCCCATCCCTCCTTCCTTCCTTCCTTCCTTCCTTCCTTCCTTCCTTCCTTCCTTCCTTCCTTCCTTCCTTCCTTCCTTCCTTCCTTCCTTCCTTCCTTCCTTCCTTCCTTCCTTCCTTCCTTCCTTCCTTCCTTCCTTCCTTCCTTCCTTCCTTCCTTCCTTCCTTCCTTCCTTCCTTCCTTCCTTCCTTCCTTCCTTCCTTCCTTCCTTCCTTCCTTCCTTCCTTCCTTCCTTCCTTCCTTCCTTCCTTCCTTCCTTCCTTCCTTCCTTCCTTCCTTCCTTCCTTCCTTCCTTCCTTCCTTCCTCCCTCCCTTCCTCCTCCCTCCCTCCCTCCCTCCCTCCCTCCCTCCCTCCCTCCCTCCCTCCCTCCCTCCCTCCCTCCCTCCCTCCCTCCCTCCCTTTTTTACCTTTTCCTCTTCTTTCCCTTTTTCCCTTCCTTCCCTTCTTCTCTTTTTCCCTTTTCCCTTCTTTCCCTTTTTCTCTTTTTCCCCCTTTTCCATTCTCCCCTTTTCCCCTTTTCCTTTTTCCCTTTCCCTATCACAGAGTTTCAGGGACCCCTCTGCTGCGGGGTGATGCCAGGACAGACCCCAGGAGCCGACTCTGGTTTGGGTACGGGGACATTCTTGTGACACAGCCCCTTTCCCATCTGGGACCCCACATTCCCGAGCCCTTCCCGGAGTTCCTGGGGGTTCAGACCCTCCCCGTCCCGGGCCGGCAGCGGCAGCCTGGGGAGACAAATAAAGCAGCTAAATAAAGGCAGCAAAGTGGATGTGCCGGAGCAGGCGGCCGCCCGCGGCTCGTCCTTTATTTAGCACAGTTTTGTTTGGAAATACACTTTCTCGACTTCGCTGAAAGCTGAATTTCTGGTTTGGTTTAAATTTGAAGGCTGGAGCCCCACGCTGCCGCTGCGGGAGGCTCGGGCTGGGAGAGGGCTCATGCAAACACACGGGAAGCCGTGGCTGGACGGGCTCTGACAGGGCACCAGCGGGGACCCAGCACCCCGTGGCCACCCAGCATCTCCTTGGCTCCGGAGCGCATCCTCCAGCACCACCCTGGCACCTCCCCACAGCCAGAACTGCCCCAGGGAGCTGCCAGAGGTGATCCCGGAGCTACATCCCCCTTCCTTTCTGCTTCCCAGGAGTCCCGCAAACCTGCCTATCACAATTTTCCCGCACAGGAACAGAAATCAAAGCTTCCCTGCCGATGCCGTTAATCCCAGCCCGGCTCCAGCGCAGGCAAACCCCGCTGGGTGCGGGGCGGGAGCGGGGCCATCCCCCGCTGTCGGTGCCACGCGTCCCGGGCAGAGCTAACAGCGTTAACGTGTGGGAAACAAACCAGGCTCATAATTCGAGTTTCGGGAACTCGCGGGCCCGGCTCCCCGCGGCTCGGAAGGCAGGAGTGCCCCAGCTAATGAGCTGACAAGAGAGGAACAACTCCTGCCACGAAACTGCAGCGACCCGGCTCCCAGCGCGGAGCGGATCCCCGCCGAGAACCCGAGTGTCTCCAGCAATCTGCCAACTGCACACTTAATTTTATTTATTTTACTTTTTGTCTTAAAAGGGGATGTTAAATGTTACAACAATATTCGGGACAGCCAGCCCTGCTGGGAAAATGCGCTGGGTGCCGGGGAAGTCATTCGTTAGAGCCGGCTGAATGTGTCAATGCCATTTATCATCACACCTTTCCTCTGGAGAGGACGCGTTTGGGCTGGCGCCCGCCTCTCGCACCCTCCCAGCGTGGATTTTCTGTCCCATGGGAGTGTGGCACAGCTCAGGCGGGGCTCGGAGGAGCTGAGTTTGGGGACGCTGAGTTTGCAGGTCCCCCGCTGGAGGGGCAGAGAGGGGAGCGGCAGGGAGGGGATGGCGTGAGCGGGTCACGCTGGGCGCTGCTGCCTGCCCCGAGGCGGAGATAGCGCTGCCCTGCTCCGGCAGATAACGCCGCTATCTCCCGCGGCGATGCCCTTCATGGCCCGGCAGCAGCACAGCAATGTCAGCGGCGAGGAGGGAGCTGTGTGTGCGGCCGAGAGAGCCCAAATATCCCCTGCTTACCCCGTCCCGACAAAGCCACCCCTCACCGGGCACCCACAAACCGAGGGGAGCCAGCTCAGGGGCTGGAGGCCCCCCCAGGCATGCCAGGGCAGCAGCAATGCCTGAATAACTCCCTCCTACAATGCCCTGTCTTTGAGCACTGCCAAAAAATGAAGGGTCAGCACAAGGCAGGCCAGGTCAGGACATATAAAGAATAAATGAGGATAAATGGCTCCCTGTTTCCACTCCACTGCTGGGGAGGACAGGAAAAAGGTTCCCACCACAATGCATCCCTAATGAGAAAAAACTGCTCCATTTTGGCAAGGGCATGGGAGGAAAACAGCCACGGGCACACACCCCTCCCCACAACACCCATGCACTCCCTATTTCCAACAAGGAGTTGAGAAATCGCTGTCTGCAAGCCTTGGTGGCACATACAGAAGGGAAACTGAGGCACGTGGGACAAGGAAGGCCCTTGGTGGCAGGACCAGGGTGCCTGGAGAGATGCTGGCTCATCCCTGTCCCCCTGAGCCACGTGTGGATGCCACGGGTACGGGAGCAGGAAAAAAGGCCACGTGCAGCATTCGTCACCACTGGGGCCAGGTGGCCTCTGTGGGGTGATGGGCTTGTGCTTAAGCACCCTAAAACTCCTGCTA